GGGGGCTGACCCAGGTGGAACATGGATAACTGTGAGAGGGGGGATGGGGGGAGATAGGGTGCGGGAGGGAGGAGAGGAGGGAGGGATAGGACGGGGAAGAAGGCCTATGAAGTGGCTATGAAGGCAGACGTGCAGCAAAATGGGGGGACGGAGGGGAAAAGGCAAGGACAAGTCTGAGACTAATGTGGGTGGGGACGAAGCTGCTCAAGGACGCCTACAGGCGAGACGATTCTCCTCTACTTGAATTGCCACCATGTTTGGACCAGAAAAGACATGCACACTTGCCTCTTTCTTATAACGCTTCTGCAGAGCCAAAGGAGAGCCCATCTGTGCTTGCTTGCTTGCTTGCTTACCTTGACTTGTCAAGCTTGGGACCCAAGTCGTATGGAAGCAGAGAGACCTTACGAAATAAAAGAATCATATGTGTATGTGGGGGGAGTGAAGGCCCTCACTCACCTTCCTCTCAGGCTGTCTCCACATGGGAGTATCTCCATACGCGCCATGCTCTTTCCTGTTGTCACCACCATTACCACCACCACCCATCCTCGTCAACCCCCTTGCCTTTGCACCCCTCTCCCCCCTCTCCCCCCACTCCCCCCGCTCCCCCCGCTCCCCCCGCTCCCCCAACATACCCCTTCCCGAAACGCCCATCCCTTCCCCTTCTCCACCACCTCCCCCCCCCCCTGCTCCTCCCCCTCCCCTTCCGCCGTCCGCCCCCGCATGTGCATCTCCTGCGGCTGAAGGCAAACCACCAGATCGCTTCACATAAGAATCACTAGCGTCTATGGTGTATTGTGTAGGCCCAGACGGGGGCCAGGGGGCAGGGGGGAGGTGGGAAAGGGCGGATGCCGAAGGGAGGATGGCAGGGGCGGAAGGGGGGACGGTGGAGGCGGAGGGGGCGATTGCAGCCGCGTAGGCGGAAGGGGCCGGGGCGTTGGCGGAAAATGGGGGGTATTGGGGGAGAGAGGGCGCAGCAGCTTGCCCTTGGGGGAGCCACCACGCGGGGACTGGTTCAGGGGCAGCTGGGGACGGTGCTAGCTGAACCAGGTAGGTGCGCCGTGCACCCAAAGGGGAAGCGAAGAGGAAAGGAAAGCAGGAATGGGGGAGCGGGGTGGGGGTGAAAAGGGAAAAAGGGGGAGGGGGTTGAACAAAGGAACGAAGAGAAGACTGAGAAAAGCATCGAGAATAATTAATCCTACATGTTGATGAGACAATTTACATGACAGCCCGCCCATGTTCTCTTTGCTTTGACTATCTACTATCTTACCAGGCTTAACCCAGGCCCACTGCCCCCACTGCCACCACTGCCACCGCCACCACTACCACCACGAGCACGAGCAGCACCAGCAGCAGAAGCAGCAGCAGCAGCAGTAGTGCCACCAGCAGCAGCAGAACCACCACTACCACCACCGCCGCCACCGCTACCGCCACCGCCACGCAACATCCCATCAGGGCTGAATGGTCTCAATCCCGGCGCTTCCCCTCCTCCCACTTGCCCCACTCTTCCTGCCTTGGCGCCCCCCACCACATGCACCCCCTGCGAGTGCTGCTCCTGCCTCTGACCACCTTCGTACACGCGAAAATCTCCGCTCCCTCCGCTCCCCCCGCTCGCACCGCCGCCCCGACTCCTCCTCACGCCCCTCTGTGCTCCGCTGTTGAGTGCGACCGAGCTCTTCTTACTCTCAGTCTGCTGCTCCAATTCCTGCTGCTGTTGTTGCTGTTGCTGTTGTTGCTGTAACTGCTGCTGCTGTTGCTGTTGCTGTTGCTGCTCCCCTTGCTGCTGCTGCTCTTGCTGCTGGATCTGATGATGTTTCTGCTGCTGCGCTGCGCCTCCCCTTTCAAACTGCGCGAGCATATCATCAGAGTCCCCCGATTCCCCTGCGCCATCGTCCCTTGTCTGCGCCTCCGCCATCTCAAGCGCGCATGCGCGCGCCTCCATCCTCTCCCCGCGAAACCCCGGTCCCAAGCCCGTCCCGCCGTCCCAGCTGGAAAGCCGTTACGCATGCCTCTCCCCCTGCCTCGCCCCATGTTCCGCGCCCCCGCCCCTCTGCCCCGCCGACTGCTGCTCCGCCTTTCCCCACATCCGCACGTGTCCGCGGTAACCCCCCGGTCCCCCCGGTCCCCGGTTTCCCACGTCTCCGCCATCTGCGGCGCCGTCGAACCTTCCGCTGCTTACGTGTCTGCTGCTAGGCAAGTCCATGCTTACGTTAGACGAAACATGCGGCCCTCTCCCGCCAAACGCGGCCGGCGCGCTGTGCTTCTGAAAGCTGGATTCGCCGCGCGCCTGCGACGACGCGATCTTGTTCCGCACCGCGCCGTCGTCGGACCATGCCTTCGGCGCTGACGCAGGCCACGTCATGCGCGCGTCAGCAGCATCACCCGGGTTAGCGCCGCGGGAATAGCCGGACTCAAAGTGCGCGGGCACGCCTGCCCCGCGGCCATGTCCCCACCCCTGAATACCGCCGTGACCCACGCCGTGACCCACGCCGTGAGTTGTGCCGTGCCCACCGCCGGCGCGCAAAGAGACATTACTATTTCCTAAACCTAACTCCAGCCTGCCAATGTTAGTGAGGTGGTGAGAGGTATTATCAAGGGAAGATAAACCGACGCCGCCAATTCCGCCTGCCACATGCACCCCGCCACCCTGATCTTGATAATTTTCGAACCCGCCGGACGCCTCCGCGCCGCCGTCCGGCCGGTACGATCCGCCGCCGCTGCCGATCGATTGGCTGCCGTCAGCCATGAGAGGTATATTTTCGGTAAGCTAGCGCCAGGGAAATTGGCCGCCTATTGGCGGTGAATTACGGGTAATTCAGGTAGAACGGCGCGTTGGACTGGTTTTGAAGGTAGCATACCGCTCGCTGGGTGAGCAGTCCTAGCAGGCGAATTTTCCCGTCGAAGGAAGCTAGTGAAAAAGCCTCACGCGTGGCTCTTAAAACCCGGGTCTCATATTTCCTAGTGTATTACACTTGGTTGGGCTAAAGCGCCTGTGATTGGGTAACGATAGGCGAGATTTGTGACGAGCAGTTTGGAAAACACAGACGACACCTCAGTTCGTCTACGCAAAAACCAAACGAGCCCCTCAGGCATGGAAAGCTCCCACACCTAAAAAACAGATCCGGCAGTTCCCTGCGACCAACTGAAACGACAAGACGCAATTCGCCCACGTTCACCAGGAAAAGCAGAGCAAAACTCACCTGTCAGTCTTACAACCTCCGCTTAGGATGGTTCCTACGTATGTACCTCCACATCAAGATGCTGGCCTTAGTCGCTAAAACAGTGATATTAGAGACCATTTCGGACCAGATAACAGGGGACTTGCGAACAAATTCTGGTTGCGGATAACGCACTAATTGGCGACTAAAGAATCGTCCAATGTCGGGAACGGTCGCAACGCCATCGCTTGTTACGAGGTAGCCAGTCCGTAACATTCCGAAATGCGTTCTTACTCTTCTATTTACAGCTGTGGAACCCGGAGAGGTGATGTCGCATTTCAGAATGCGCTCGGGTCGTCCATCTACGACAAGCGCGATTGCGTGAAAGGTCTGTGTGCGAGTGGCATGTGTGTGGGGTGTGTGTGAAAGCTTGTGTGCGTGCGAACGTGCGTGCGTGCGTGCGCGAGCGTGCGCGTGCGTGCGTGCGTGCGCTTGCGCGTGCGCGTGCGGCGTGCGTGTGTGCGCGTGTGCGTGCACGTTTGCGTGCGCGTACGCGTGCGTGCGTGCATGCGTGCGTGCGCGCGCGTGCGTGCGTGCGTGCGTGCTTGCGTGCACGTGCGTGAGAGCAAGCGTGCATGCGTGCGTGCGTGCGCGTGCGTGCGTGCGTGCGGGTGTGCACCTGTTTGTATTCTTATCATTCAGTGCATGTGCATAAAAATGCACAAGTCATTTTGCCACACGTCCCTCAGCCTTCACATCCCGGTGCTCACACCTCCCTTTCCCCCAACTGCCATCTGCGCCTCGAGACACAACACACATCCTTCCCTCTCTCCCTTCCCTCTCTCCCTTTCCTCTCTCCCATTCACCCTCTCCCCTTCCCTCTCTCCCCTTCCCTCTCTCCCCTTCCTCTCTCCCCTTCACCCTCTCCCCTTCCCTCTCTCCCCTTCCCTCTCTCCCTTTCCTCTCTCCCCTTCACCCTCTCCCTTTCCCTCTCTCCCCTTCCTCTCCCTGTTAACTCACCCTCACCCCCTCCCCTACCAACTTTCCTAATGTCTGCAGCAAGGCTTGCTTGCCAGCCAGCCCTCGCCACGCGCTCACCCTGCTAGCTTTTCTGCCCGAACTGAGGTGTATGTAAGCAGGGGAAGGTGAGGAGGGTGTGGGTGTGGGCGATGGTGAGAGAGGGGAGGGGGAGTGGGAGTAGGAGGTGGGGAGGTTGAGTGCTGTGTTTAGGGCCATGAGTGTGTAGAGCCCTTTCCTTCTCCATCTGCCCTCCTTTTTTTTCATTTCCCCTACTATGCCTTCCCATCTCCTGTCCCTTCCCTTCTCATCCCCTCCCATTCTTCTCATTTGCCCTCCCTTCCTTCCCATCTTGCGTGCCAGCCTCCCTTCCTTGCATCACCCCTACCCTCTTTTGCTCTCCCCGTTCCCCCTTTTTTACCACCTTTCTCTTCCTTCACATCTCAACTGCCCTTTTTCTCATCCCTGGAGCCTTCCTTCCTCCCGTCACCTCTCCCTTTGTTCCAGTTACAAGCAGGACTAAGCTAGTCCCAGGCGAGCCTGGCGGAACGGAAGGGACAGGCAAGCAGCAGATGCACGGCCAGATGCACGAAGGCGAGATTGGCGCTAGAGGAGAGATGTACCCCATATCTTCAAGATATTGCACAAGTGTATACATTCAATAAGTTCTTTAGGTCAGTGCTGTGCTCAATTGCTACAAACTAAATGGATGCATTGCAACCATCTGAGCATCAAGTGTAATATGCTATGAAAGACAAGAGACTAGGCGGGTTTGGCAAGCCTACTTTGCCAACAACTGAGTTTTGAATCTACGCACTAGTCACAAAACTAAGGATGAACTGGTTCTTTGTGGCGCCATGCTGGAACAAGCACATCAACAGGGGGGAGAAAGGGGGGAAGCAGAGGGGAGACAAGTGGGAAAACAGAGCTGAGGCATGGGAGGAAAGCGAGGGGAGGCATGGCATGGGGAAAGAAAGGAGGCAGGGAGGAATTGGGGAAGTGATTGCTTGGCGGAATAGTGTGTGAAAGCAGGGGAAAAAGGTGAAAGGGTTGGCGAAGTGTTGGCTTCATGGGAGGAGCTGGTAGCACGGGATGAGAGGTGACAGCAGAGGGGGAAGGGAGGTGGTAGCACGGGATGAGAGGTGACAGCAGAGGGGGAAGGGAGGTGGTAGCACGGGATGAGAGGTGACAGCAGAGGGGGAAGGGAGGTGGTAGCACGGGATGAGAGGTGACAGCAGAGGGGGAAGGGAGGTGGTATCACGGGATGAGAGGTGACAGCAGAGGGGGAAGGGAGGTGGTAGCACGGGATGAGAGGTGACAGCAGAGGGGGAAGGGAGGTGGTATCACGGGATGAGAGGTGACAGCAGAGGGGGAAGGGAGGTGGTAGCACGGGATGAGAGGTGACAGCAGAGGGGGAAGGGAGGTGGTAGCACGGGATGAGAGGTGACAGCAGAGGGGGAAGGGAGGTGGTAGCACGGGATGAGAGGTGACAGCAGAGGGGGAAGGGAGGTGGTATCACGGGATGAGAGGTGACAGCAGAGGGGGAAGGGAGGTGGTAGCAGAAAGAGAAAAGAAGGTGATAGCAGAGGGGGAGGGAAAGGGGGATGAGGGAAGGGAAGGGGGATGGGGGAAGGGAAGGGGGATGGGGGAAGGGAAAGGAGGATGCAGGGAAGGGATGGGGGATGGGTAAAGGGAATGGGGGATGGGGGAAGGGAAAGGAGGGTGTGGGGAAGGGAAAGGGGATGTGGTAAGAGAAGGGGGATGGGGGAAGGGAAGGGGGATAGGGAAAGAGAAGGGGATGGGGAAAGGGTAGGCGGATGGGGAAAGGGAAAGGGGATGCGGGAAGGGAAGGGGGATGGGGAAAGAGAAGGGGGATGGGGAAAGAGAAGGGGGATGGGGAAAGAGAAGGGGGATGGGGAAAGAGAAGGGGGATGGGGAAAGAGAAGGGGGATGGGGAAAGAGAAGGGGGATGGGGGAGGGGAAGGCGGATGGGGTTAGGGAAAGGGGATGTGGGAAGGGAAAGGGGTATGGGGATCGGCGCGTCTCCTACGTTTCCTCCCGCCAGTCCCGTCCCGCTCCGTCGCGTTCCCTCCCGCTCCGTCCCGTCATACATCCCGTCCCATCCCGTCCCATCCCGTCCCGTCATGTCCCGTCCCATCCCGTTCCGTCATGTCCCGTCCCGTCCCGTCCCGTCCCCTCTCGTCTCGTTTCCTTCCCGTCCCGTCCCGTCCCGTCCCGTCCTTTCCCGTCGCGTCCCCTCACGTCCCATCAGGTCCCCCCCGTTCCCGTCCCGTCCCGTCGTGTCCAGTAGCGTCCCCTCCTGTCCTCTCCTCTCCTCTCCACTTCTCTCCTCTCCACTCCTCGTTGCATCCCACAGTATCCCTTCCTACCCTTTCCGGCTCCCCTTCACGCACCGTCCCACCCCTCCCCTTCTCGTCGCATCCCGGAGGTCCTTCCCATCCCTTTCTCCTCGCTTCCAGCCATGTCGCGTCGCTTCCTGTAATGTCGCGTCGCTGCTTATCGAGTCCTAACCCTCGCCTTTCAGCCGCGTCGCTGCTTATCCAGTCCTAACCCTCGCCTTTCCGTCGCGTCGCTTCCTATCTCGTCCTAACCCTCGCCTTTCCGTCGCGTCGCTTCCTAACTCGTCCTAACTGCTGCCTTTCCGTCGCGTCGCTTCCAATCTCGTCCTAACTGCTGCCTTTCCGTCGCGTCGCTTCCTATCTCGTCCTAACTGCTGCCTTTCCGTCGTGTCCCTTCCGTCCAAATTCGACAGGGGGGAGCGTTACTGCAATACACCTTGGTCCAAATAGAGTGGTGCATCTTATTGCAATAATGAGGACCAGCTCTGGCGATGGACGGACTATACGTGCGTAAAAGCAAATGCAGGCGCGGAGTGACCAAAGATAAAAATAAACAACGACAACGAGAGGTACAAGGTATTGTCACGTTTGACGCTGGAATAAACCTAGGGAAAATAAGATGCTGAAATGAGACTTAGTCGCTAGAGAAATCGGTGCGAGTATGTTTCTCCACCTACAACCTGTCTGGGTTTGCAGTCTCATATTTTTCCAGCTCTGTAATACGCTCGGTTGTGGGCTGTGCGTCCCATTCTCAGTCCGTCGCACATGCAGTTGCCTGTTTCTCGCAAACCCGGCTTGGTAGTCAGGCACCTGCCTCTACCAAACTGTTTGGTTTGCAGCCAATCACACCTGCGCCAAACCAAACGCGAGTGTTTTGCGAGTGATTGTTTGGTTACCCGGTTTCAAGCGTATTACCTTTGGTTGGAAACAAGAAATATGAGACGCGGGTTTTAAAGCTCGGGATGGTCAAACCAAAAAGTTGGTCAAACCCCAATGTGCCGGTGGGGTGGGTGGGGACTTGTCGATTAGCTGGTTCCTACAGCACAGTGGTTGGTTGGTCCATGATTCATGAACTACTGTAAAATGGTGCGTTCATGCATGCCGCTGCTGGTAGGACATGCGCTCCAACGAGCATAATGTGGATGCGGATTGTAATACACTGCAATGACAGTGTACATCCTTGAAGAAGATTGTCAACAGTATTTTTTCAAAATACCGGTACCTTGTTTACATAATTCTGCAGACACCATAGTAATGAGATAAGCATGATATTCAGGAATTATACATTGATTGCTACAAGGAAGAACGCTAAAGCTGACGCCGTGGACATTCTTAGCGAGGAAATAAATATAAGATGGTTCTTCTCGTCTCATCTGCAGGCTTCTGGTTTAAACCTTGGCATATGGTAGCATGGTGAACGAGAACCACCGGGAGGGAACCTGAGAAACCGTACTAAGGAGAGGGCAAGGCAGGCACATCGAAGTGAGTGTCTTGTGAGGGCATCAACTTAACTGCTCAAGCATCAGGCACCCACCCCCAGCATCAGCAGCAGCAGCAGCAGGAGCAGCAGCAGCAGCAGCAGCAGTAGCTGCCACCGCCAAGCCCCAGCAACCACCCGCTTCACTCTTGCTTCACCTCCTTCCCGCCCCCTGGCTCCTGCGCTTTCCCCTCCTCCGGAAAAAACACCTGCAGGCGGGCCGAGATGCTGCTAGTAAGCCGCTCCATAGCCACCACCGACTGTTTCGGCACCTCTATCAGCTTCACCGCTGCTGCCACAGGGAGACTCAGCGACGCGATGAAGATGCACGCTGCGAACTGCAGCGGCGTGAGCGGCACGGTGGAGGCGAACTTGCCGAGGTATTGCACGAGGCAGACTTGGAAGACAGTGGAGAAGAGGAGGATGGCGAGGAAGATGACGTTCTGGTGCATGCCGTGCAGCACATTCACCTCGTCCAACTCCCGTGAGTTGATCTCGTTGAATAGCTGTTTGTGTGTGGAGGGGGAAAGGGGGGGAAGAATTTTTAGTCGACTCATAAGAGGAAGATGACATTCTGGTGCATGCCGTGTAGCATGTTCACCTTGTCCAGCTCCCGTGAACTGATCTCGTTGAATAGCTGTGTGTTTGTAGATGGGAGATGGAAGAGTAGGGAGAGGTGAAGATTATTTGGGGTGGGGAAGGGGAGGGTGGCGGTGGGAAGGGGTAAAGGAGAGGCTTCTGAAGCAGGGAAGACATGGAGAGAAGTGAAGCAACGATTATGTTCATTAGAGTGAAAAAGCTAAATCAAACAATCCCCACCACGGCCCTTCCACCACCAGCACTTCAAGCTTCCTTGCCTCCTCCCACCCACTCGACTCCCTTCACCCCCACTCCCCTCTCCCCCTCCCCATCCCCGCCCCCGTCCCCCTCCCCCTCCCCCTCCCCCCTCTCCCGCACCTGGCAGAATACAAACGTGTTGAACACAAGCGTGCGCTTGGTAGCGGCAGCCAGTGGCCCCTGCAGCCCAAACAGGAACGCGGCAAACTGGTTCAGCAGCGCGAGCACGAGCAGCTGGAACACCACCTGCCCTGCAATGTTGCGCCACATGGAGGGCGTGATGAAGGGCGTGCGCCGCCCCACGGGCTTCATGTGCATGAGCGACTCTTTTGGGGGCTCGGTGGCGAGGGCGAGAGCACCGAGAGTGTCCATGATTAGATTCACCCACAGCAGCTGCACTGCGGTTAGGGGGGCCGTGCCTGGTGGTAGTGGTGGTGGTGGGCAGGGGGCAGTGGGGTGGGGTGGGGAGGGGTGGGAGAAAAGGGCAGAGACAGGGAAATGAGTCGGAAATGGTTTCGTTCCACGAGGTTGGAACATGTGGGTGTGTGGTGGGGTTGTGTATGAGGCGTGCCAAAAGCCCCCCACGGGCTTCATGTGCATGAGGGACTCTTTTGGGGGCTCGGTGGCCAGGGCGAGAGCACCGAGAGTGTCCATGATTAGATTCACCCACAGCAGCTGCACTGCTGTCAGTGGGGCCGTGCCTGGTGGTGGTGGTGGTGGTGGTGGTGGTGGTGGTGGTGGTGGTGGTGGTGGTGGTGGTGGTGGTGGTGGTGGTGGTGGTGGTGGTGGTGGTGGTGGTGGTGGTGGTGGTGGTGGTGGTGGGCAGGGGGCAGTGCGGTGGGGTAGGGTGGGGTGGGCGAAAAGGGCAGAGACAGGAAAATGAGTGCAGGATGATGTTTTCCACGGGGTCGGAACGTGCGGGTCTGTGGTGTGCCTGAGGCGTGTAAGAAACGTCCCACAAGCTCTTTGGGGTGCTTGGTGGCGAGGACGAAAGCACCAAGTGTGTCCAAAATGAGGTTCACCCACAGCAACTGCACTGCTGTTAGTGGGGCCGTGCCTGGTGGGGCGGTGTCGGGTGGGGTGGTGATGGGTTGGAGGGGTTGATCCGAGTGGAGAGTGGTGTAGAGAAGTCCAACAGGTGACTGAACGGCGGCGGTGAGCAATATTGGGTGTCGCAATGAGCGAGGGAAGCACCAAGGGAAGAAAGCTTCCAAAGAATGTCAAAGGTGCGGAATAAAGTGGCCGAGGAAGAGATGAGTGCAGGGAGAGATGAGTACCAAGGCATGCGGGCACGCGGCACGGCACCTGTGATGCATGCGAGGTGACTTTTGAGACGACTCAAAAGTCACCTCATGTGGGCAAGCAGCACGGCACCTGTGATGCAGGCGGAGACGAAGTTGGTGATGAGAGCGACGATGTTGACTGTGAGCTGGAACTGCACGAACTTCTGGATGTTGGTGTACACACTGCGCCCCCACTTGGCCACATTCACCACCGAGGAGAAGTTGTCGTCCATCACTATCACGTCCGCACTCTCCTTTGCCACCTGTGGGTGAGAGTGGGGGAGAGTGGGGGAGAGTGCGGGAGAGTGCGGGAGAGCGGGACGAGAGAGGGCCATGAGAGGGCGGGAGAATGGGGCACGGGATCAAGGGAGCTGGGGGTACAAAGAGGCTAATTGTCGTCCATCACTATCACGTCAGCGCTCTCTGTCGCCACCTGTGGGGGAGAGAGAGGAGAGCAGGGGAGAAAGGGGCAACGGAACCAGGTTGTTGTTTATCACTATCACGTCCGCACTATCCTTCGCCACCTGTGGGGGAGAGTGGGGGAGAGTGGGATGAGAGACGGGGTGCATGAGAGCGAGAGAAGGGAGCAAAGGTGCCAAGTCATCGTCCAACACTACCCTATCCTCTATACTATGTCATCCCACTTTTTAAGAAGTTTCAAAAGCCAGCTCCTCTCTGCCGCGCCACTCGCCTCGGTGCTGCTGGCAATGGCAATGCCCACAACAGGTGACCTACCCTATCCCTCTCTACTTCTACTACGCGTCTCAAAAGCTATCCCCTCTCGACACCTCACCTCTGTCCCCGCAATGCCCATGGCGAGCCCGATCTCGGCCTCCTTTAGCGCGGGTGCATCGTTGGTGCCGTCGCCTGTGACGGCCACCACCTCGCCCATCTCCCGCAGCAGCGACACCAGCAGGTGCTTGTCCGTGGGGGAAGACCGTGCCATCACCTGTCGGGTGGGGAGTGGGGGGCGGGGTGGGGTGGGGGGGAAGAGCGAAATGGTGGAGAGGGTGTTGCCGCAGACATGGACGTCCTGTGCAGCAGCGACACCAGCAGGTGCTTGTCCGTGGGGGACGAGCGCGCCATCACCTGGAGCGGGGGGAGGCGGGTGGGGTTGGGGGGGTGCAGTCGCAGCCAGGGGGAAGGGGTGAGCGAGTGTTATTCAGAACTCTAAAAAGTTCCAGCAGGTGCTTGTAAGGGGGGTTCCGAGTCCATAGCCAAAGTTAGGGGGAGTGGGGGAGAGTGAAACTGTGGGAGGAATATTAAAGACTCAAACATAGCCACCTCACGTAGCAGCGACACGGGAAGTGCTTGGCTGTGGGGGACGATTGTGCCATCATTTGAGAGCGGGGGGTTTGTAGCCAGGGGGAGAATGGAGGGGGGGGGGGGGGGGGGGGGAGAGAGGGGGAGGGGGGATGATGTGGGAGGGAGGGATACGGGAAGTAGAAATGGTGGGATGCTAAAAAGGAAACCGCAAAGTGGAGCAAGTAGAGATGGGAAGAGATGGCTAATGGGAGCCACACAGTGCAACCCACTGCCACATGACCCCTGAAAGCACAAGCCGTGACATCTCCTGCAGTCAACACAGTATGGATGGAGTGTGTTTACAGTATACAGTATACAGACGACGACCACCACCACCGCAACCGAGCACACACAAGATCGCATGCACACACATGCCCATGCCCACACACACCCACAGTGAGAGCAGCGCACGAGCCTGCAGGCGAGGCACGAGCTCCCTCCTCTCCTCGTCGCTCAAGACCCGAAAATTGGGACCCTCAACCGCCACGCCCTCGCCTCCCCCCCTCCCTTCTCCCCCCCTCCAACACACATACCTGCAGGCGGGGCACGAGCTCCCTCCGCTCCTCGTCGCTCATGACTCGGAACTTGGGCCCCTCCACTGCCACGCCCTCGCTTGTCAGAATGCCACACTCCCGTGCAATGGCTATGGCCGTACTCAGGTTGTCCCCCGTTACCATGCGCACCTGGAAACGGGGGAGGACCGGAGGGAAGGGGGGCAGGGGACAAAGAGAGGGATTGTGTAAAACGTCAGTAAACAAAAAACGAAGAACGAAAGAACGAATGGGCGGAAAAAAGGGAAAAAAAAGGTACGGAAGAAAGCAAAGCAAAGCAAAACAAACAAACAAACAAACAGTAGCACCGCACAGCACCGTACCATGATCCCTGCGCGCTTGCACAGCATGACAGAGCGGGGCACTTCAGGCCGCAGCGGGTCCTTTATCCCCACCACCGCCATCAGCGTCAACCCCTCATCCGGAATCGCCACATCCGCCACCCACTCCCCTCCCTTCACCAACCCCATCTGCTCCACCTCCTCCGCACTCAAATCCCTGTATGCCAGAGATAGAGTGCGCAGTGCCGCAGTAGCTGATTCCTCCACAACCTTCCCCAAGGCATCAAGATCTATAGGCGCTACTACTGCCTCGGAGCACCCTTTCTCTCCCACCCCGTCGCCTTTCCCTTCCCCTGCCGCTACCCCCACCACTGCATGGGTGCAGCTCGCAAGAATAATCTCCGCAGCGCCCTTCCACATGACCCTCACGCCCCCGTTAGGCAGGCGAACCGCTGCCGCCATGCGCTTGCGCTGCGAGTTGAACGGCTCTAGCTTGAGAATGGTGGCGGAGGAGCGGGTGGAGGAGAAAGCGGAGGGGGAGGCGAGGTGCATGCCCCAGGTGAGAATGGCCTGCTCTGTGGGCGTGCCGAGGACGACTGGGGCAGAGGACGGCGGGGCGGGCGGCGTGGGCAGCTGCACGTCTCCACTGGTGTTGATGAAGACGTTTTGCAGGAGCGGGGCGGAGAGGGATTCGGGGAGCTTCCACTCCTGAAAAAGGAGGGGAGGGGAGGGAGTGAACGAGGGGGTTGTGGGGAACAATGGGGGCGTGAGTAAGCGCACGTCTCCGCTGGTGTTGATGAACACGTTTTGCAGGAGCGGGGCGGTGTGAGATGCAGGGAGCTTCCACTCCTGAGAGAGGAGGGGAGAGAGGGAGAGGAGTGAGGGGGAGGGTGTGGGAGGAGGAGGGTTTCGGGTTGGGAACGAATGGGGTGAGGGGAACAAGGGGGGGGTGCGCTGGTGTTGACAAACACGTCTTGTACTAGTTTGTACAGAACGCAAGTACTAGTGCATACACACACACACAAAAAACACCACCAGTACAACAAACAACACACCTCCATATCGCGCATTTCCTGCAGCTGCAGCAGGGGCACCTTGCGCACGTGTCCCAGCACCCACGCCTGCACCACCGTCATCTGATTCTAGTTTTGAGTCGACTCAAAACAAACCACATACCTCCATATCGCGCATCTCCTGCGGCTGCAGCAGCGGCACCTTGCGCACGTGTCCCAGCACCCACGCCTGCACCACCGTCATCTGATTCGCAGTCAGCGTGCCCGTCTTGTCACTGCATATGGTCGTGGCAGACCCCATGGTCTCGCACGCTGCTAGCTTGCGCACGAGCGCCTTGTCCTTCATCATCTTCTTCATCGCGAAGGCGAGCGATAGGGTTACCGCTAGGGGTAGGCCCTCTGGCACTGCCACGACGACTATGGTGACTGCCACTGCGAAGTAATCCACAACCTGGGGGTGGGGAAGGTGGGAGGCGGGAGGTGGGTGAGAGGCGGGAGGTGGGGAAGCTGTGAGACGTCTCAGGAACTGGCTTGGGGTAGCCCCTCTGGGGGACGGCCACGACCACTATGGTGACTGCCACTGCGAAGTAATACACAACCTGGGGGTGGGAGGAGGGGGATGGGAAAGTAGGGAGGGGGGAGAAAAGGGAGGTGGGAAAGAAGGGAGGTGGGAAAGGAGGGAGGTGGGAGGTAAGCCACCTCCTAGTCGTCTAGGAGGTGGCTTAGGAAAGGCTCTCTGGCACTGCCATGCCGACTATGGTGACCGCCACTGCTAAGTAATCCACTAACTGAAGGGGGAGGAGGGAGAGAAAGGAGGTGGGGAAGGAGGGAGGATGGGGAAGGTCTAGGACGTGTCACAACTGGCTTAAAGAAGGCTCTCTGGCATTGCCACGCGACTATGGTGACTGCCACTGCACATTAATCTCCACCTAAGGGGGTGGGTGGAGGGAACAGATGGACGGAGATGGAAAAATGTGGGAGATGGTTGGAAGGAAAAGAAGTTGCAGGCGGGGAGAGGTGGTAGGGGGAGGGAGGGCCGGGAGAGGTGCGGTGGATGGGTGGGTTGAGGGAAAACGAGGCAGGCCGGCCTGCAACAGTGTGTGGCGGAATGGGCAGTGTGGTGGGAGGACCAGTCCCATATGCTTGTGGAGAGCAGCAGACGCGCGAGCAGCACCACGAAGTGATTATGTAACCGACTCAAAAGACTTCTCAGTGGGGCAGACTCACCTGCAATGTGTGGTGGAAGGACCAGTCCCATATGCTGGTGGAGAGCAGCAGACGCGCAAGCAGCACCACAAACACCACCAGCGCCACGTACAGCCCCACCCGCCCTATCAGCGTCGCCACCCCACTCAGCTTCACCTGGTGCGAGGAGGGAGAGAGAGGAGGAGAGAGGGGGAGAAAGGGGGAGAGGGGGGGAGAGGGAGAGAGGAGGGGAGACGGGGGGGGGGGGGGAGAGAGGAGGAGAGGGGAACGATGAGAGAGACGGAGGGGAGGGGGCGAGTGGGGGGGAAGAACAAGGTGGAAGGGAGGAAAGAGAGCTTCAAGTGGACGCAGGGAGAGAGCAATGGTGGAATGTAAGCGATCCAACTGCTGCTGCTACTGCTGCTGCTACAGCTGCTGATGCAGCTGTTACCACCGCTTGAGCATTCTCCTAACACAGCAGCATCGATCCTCTGAGGCCACATCGCTACCTGCAGCAGCGTCCCATCATCTCATCCCCACTGTCCGTGAGCTTAGCAATGAGCTGCCCCCGCTGTCCGTCACCGCATACCCACGCCCACCACACGCACGGGTGCTGACTGCTTCATCATTCTCCCAACCCAACTGACGCGTCATCAACCCTCTCAGCCCCTCCATATCTGCAGCAGCGTCTCGACGCCCCCACTGTCAGTGGGCTAAGTGATGAGCTGCCCTCACTCCAAGTTCATGCCCACGCCTTTTGAAATCTCTCAAAACGGATACCCGTACCTGCAGCGGCGTCTCATCATCCCCACTGTCCGTGAGCTTGGCAATGAGCTGCCCCCACTCCGTGTTCATGCCCACGCCCACCACGAGCGCGGTGCCATGGCCGTCCTGCACCTTGGTGCCCGCAAGGAAGAAGGGCGCGTCCTTGCCCTTGTACGCCGGCACACTCTCGCCCGTCATGCTCGACTCGTCCACCACCAGGCTGTGCCCTGCGGGAGGGGGAAACAGGGATGTTTTCTAGTTTGAGACTGCTACGAACCGCAGACGTGTGTAGTGTAGTGAGCCGGGCCAGTGCCAGCGGGGAACAAGGGCGTATGACGCGTCCTTGCCCTTGTACGCCGGGACACTCTCGCCCGTCGCGCTCGACTCGTCCACCACCAGGCTGTGCCCTGCCGGAGGGAGCGGGGGAGAAGGGGTTGGTGGGGAAGGAAAGAGAGAGAACGGTCTGGAAATCCAGTCATACTGCAGTGCAGTGCACTGTGGCTGGCACAACAGGCCATGGACGAAAAGCATAGGAAGGTCTTTCGCGCCTGCAGGCTGCAGCTGCTTTTAGAGAAGCAGCGACCTCGCTAGCAAGACCAGAATATTCACATGTGAAAAGAAAACCACCAGGAGACGAGAAAGGGAAAGAGATTTTGCAAGCAAGGTGGGACTGGCAGCCACATTCTCTCAGCCAGGTGTGTGTTACCTACCTCCAATAAATACAGCGTCAGCAGGGACTATATCCCCTGTGGATAGCACAATGACGTCCCCTGCCACGAGGTCGTAGATAGACACCTTCTGCCGCACTGCACCGCGCACCACCTCCACCGATACCTTCTTCTTTTCCCGGTCCAGCATCTGGAACTGTTGTTGGGGGGATGAGTGGGGGGAATGAGTGGGGGGAATGAGTGAGGGGAATGAGTGCAGGGAATGAGTGCAGGGAATGAGTGAAGGGAAAGAGTGAAGGGAAAGAGTGAAGGGAAAGAGTGAAGGAAATTACTGAAGGGAACGAATAAAGGGAATGAGTGGAGGGTAGTGCACAGATAAGCAAACTTGTATATCAAGTAGTGTGTCAATGCACGACAGGACATGAGGGGCGAATGGAGGGAGATGGGGAGGTGACGGGTGGGGAGACGGGGTGAGGGAGGATGGGGAAGAAGTGATGGGGTGGGTTGGGGCGGGAGAGGGGAGGAACGAAGGAAGGGGTGACGAAAAGGGGGAGTGGTTGGGTTGGGGGAAGGGGGGGTCTGGGAAGGGGATGCGGAGGATCAGGAACGGACCTGCAGCAACTGACAAAGACAACTAGCACAACAAGTGTGTGTTCAAGTCGACTCAATTCACTCAGCACACGGACGAACCTGCAGCGATTGCCTGTAGTCACTGGTGGCAGTGACGAATACCATGAGCACAATGCTCATGAGGATACCCACTCCGTCGTACCACCCCTCCTGCCACCCCTACGTTATAACGCCCACCAGCAGGGATACAGCGCGCACTGACCTGCAGCGATTGCCTGTAGTCACTAGTGGCAGTGACGAAGACCACGAGCACAATGCTCATGAGAATTCCCACTCCGTCGTACCACCCCTCCTGCCACCCCTCCGTTATGATGCCCACCAGCAGGGACACCACTGCGCAGACTGCCAGGATCCACAGCGTCATGTCCTGCAGGCATGTGTGCACGGCCATGGGGATGGGATGGGGTCGTGAGACATGTTTTTGAGTCGACTCAAGAGCAGGGACACCACTGCACACACTGCCAGAATCCACAGAGTCATGTCCTGCATGCATGCATTTGCGTGTGTGTGCACGGCCATGGGGACGGGATGGGGTCGTGAGACATGTGTACAGTCAGAAGAAACAAGCATGCAGACATGCATGCAAGCATGCATATGTGTCATGCATATACTCAATACCATACACACATGCCAGTGCATGGGGAAGAGGAGGCATATGCGAGTATGGATAGAATGGACAGGGCACATAAAGGATCGAGCGGCACACAAAGGATGGAATGGGAACAAACACTCCAGGCATGCTGGGAAAGGCAGGGTCGCAGGGGGTAGGAGGTACAGGATAGTAATAACTGCAACGCCAACCAACCACATGCCTCACTAACTCTTTACTGCTCTGTTTATCCATTAAGCAGGAGATTTTCGAATATCTGCTCCGGCTACCTACAAGCAACTCAACGCCCCTCTCACCTCCTTGGTATTGTTTTCTCGCGGCGCCTAAAGAATCAATGTGTCTCAAGAGTCATATACAGTCTTGCCTGCATGCCTCTCACCTGCATGGCGTCCCACACAAACTGCACGAACGTCTTAGCAGGCTGCTCCGGGAACGTGTTCGCGCCATACACCTTGCGCCTGCGCATCAGATCCCCCTCCCCCCCGCCTATTCCCTCCGCCACGTTGCTCCCCAGCAGCCGCGCCACCCCCCCCGCGCCCCCGAACGAGTCGAGCGCGCTCGCGTCCTGCCCCCCCACCATCACCGCCAGCTGCTTCGCGCTCACGCCAAAGCCCTCCGCGCGCGCGGCCCTATACGCCGCGTCTGACAGGCGGGGGAGCACTGCGGGGGGGTATGCGGGGGTGGGGGGAAGGGGCAAGGGGTGTCAGAAGGAGGGAAGGAGGGATCGTGGGCTGGGAGGGAGAAAAAGTGAGGAGAGGGACGAATGGGGGGGACAAGGAGCTTGGAGACGGGAAGGCGCATGGGGCCAAAACCAAGCTGAAGTTTCATGGATTTCCTGACCAGCCAGACCGTGGGGAGGGTGCGCCACTTGCGGGGCACGGGGAGGAAGGGGGGCGGACGTGGTGGCGGTCAAAGCGGCAGTGGGGGCGTAGGATGGCGGGGGCTGGAGGGCGGAGGGCGGAGGGCGGGCGGACCTGATTTGAAGCGCGCCACTGCCTTGAGCGCCTTGGCAGCTCCTCTGAAACGAGAGAGGCCAGTCGACATCTGAGATGTGTGTGTGGCCCGGGCGTGGGGTGGGATGGTGGAAGGCGACGAAGGCAGAGAGGGAGAGAGGGGGAGGGGGGGAGGCGGGAGGAGGGGGGAAGGGAACAAGGGGAGAAGGGAAGAAGAAGCTACATGGGATGGGAGGACGGAGGACACAGACGAAATCCCGCAGAAGAGGCAGCAGGGGAGTGGGTGGAAGGGGGGCAGGGTGGGGGGGGGGAGAAGGGGGGAGGGACGGATGGTAGTAGTCCTGGGGGAAGAGGAAACCAAGGGTGCGTAAAGAGGGTGCGATGAAGTGAGGAGCAGAGAGAGTAAAGGAGGAATGGCGCGCGAGAAGAGAGGGGCCGCGTGCGTCCACACCTTAGGAGTAGGCGGTTTGGACTCTTGATCTCGTCTCTGCTGCAGGTCCGCCGTGTATCGGAAGCGCCTCGTCGCGTTTCTGACGAGCGCCATGCGGCGCCATCGCATCAGCGCGTCGCTGCTCGCATGCTTTGGATCCACCACGTCGAAATCCGAAAACCCCGCCGTCAGCGGAAGCAGCAGCGCCTCGCTCCACGACTCCCCGCGTCCTATGCGCGCGCGCCACCCTTCCTCCCCCGGCCGCGGAGTGCGCGGAGTCGGCGGAGGCACGCGCATATCCTTCTCCCCCTCTCCCACTGATGCCGCGCTGAGACGCGAAGCTTCGCTGCCCTGCACCTCTCCTTCTTCTGCCACGTCTTCGAGCCGCACGCGCGATATTTTCGCACTCGCGCTTCCTAGACCTCCCCATCCGCCCTTCCCCCGCTTCACCTCCGAGCTTTCCGCTGTTCCGCCGGATCCGCTTGTCGCGGCGGCGACCGCTGCGCTGATTGCCGCTATCTCATCCGCGCTGCGCGGAACCCCCGCTCCGCTCCCTGAGGAGGCCCCCCCCGATTCGGGCCGCTCCCCTTCCCCTTGACCCTCCGCTCCCCCTCCCGTCTTCTCCCCCGCTTCTTTACCCTCCCCTTCCCCTCCCGATTTCACCTCGCCTCCTAGCTTCACCGATCCTTCAGTCAAATTTTGCGCCTGGGCACCCAAACCGGCGTCTTCCGCCAGCAGCGGAGTGGCGGAGTCATCCGCGGAAGGGGCGGCGGGTGAAGCGGAATCGACGGGTGGAGTGGACTCGACGGGAGGAGTGGACACTACAGGTGGAGCGGACTCGACGGGTGGAGCGGAGTCGACGAGTGGCGTGGACACTACAGGTGAAGCGGACTCGGCGGGTGCAACTGACTCTACGGCTGGAGCAGCCTGAACAGGTGGAGCAGATTCGACAGGTGGAGCAGACTCGACGGGTGGAGTGGAGTCGACGGGTGGAGCAGCCTGGACGGGTGGAGCAGATTCGACTGGTGGAGCGGAATCGACTGGCTCTTCCGCCATGCTGAGTCAGCTGCGTCGGGAGAGGGATAGCGAATGGTGGAGACGTGGAACCATGAGAATGTTGGGAGGAAAAGGGGGGTGTGGGGGCGGAGAGGGAAAAACACAAACGGGAGCAAGATCACACCATGCATCAGCAATGGCTTGAACATGTTGTGAGTAGCGAGCAGAACTTATAGCCTTACAAAGCTCGCGTTTAGAACCAGGTCGTGGAATGGACGACCATGTGAGCAGAGAAAAGACAACGTTAGCAGCGGGAATGCATGCCCTAGTAGAACGTGAAACCTCGAAAATCTACGGAAACAACCTGATATGTTGCAGCCTAATGAGTGCTGCCGAACCGCTAAGATCTCCACGGCGACGATCAGCTCCCAGATCGTGTTTCTAATCGACGCGAACTGACCGGACGACGACCGATGCGACGTGATCCACGTCAAAACGCGACGGAAAAGGCGATACGAGCGCGCCAATCGAACATGCAGCAATGCGCTAACTCTTTGTGCGATGCTACTCACCGAGTCTCAGAGCAAAGGTTTACCGCACGAGGAAGATCCAATGTGAGACCCCTCAACTCAGCGTAAAAAAAAACGCCACTTTTTTGGAAAAATAATAGCGTTAACAGGTAGGTCTAGCTCCGCCTAGAGCAACCATTGTTTTAGAGATGCCAAGCAGAGAAGATGCCTTCAGGAGTTTCCACACAACGTGCAAGTGCGGAAACCTGAGAAACACACAGAGCAGTACTGCTGTTGCTGGAGGAAACGTACGCCTTCAGCAGTACTGCGAATGCCTCCATCATGCGCCTTAAATTTTACTCAACCGTACTCAAACGTTTCCAATGTGAACAGGCCGCTGTGAAACGCACAAACTTGTACACCACCGCACTAAGTGAGCTTTTGATGACATCGCCATTCCCAAGGTTAGTCTCCCCACATCCCCTCTCGAACTCCGCTCCGCTCACCTTTCCAAACCAAACTTGTGTATCTGCGCTCTCCGCTAAGGCCGAACTGCAGGAAGGATGAAGGAGGCGGAAAGCCGAAGGCAGGCGCGAGGCGGAGGGATTAGTGATGGCATGGCGCGCGCGACCATTCCAAGGCTGGAGATAGGTTTGGATTGCTGGTATGGCATGGTGATGGACTGTACATTCCTGGTGTGCCGTGCCGAATGCTTGAGGTCGGCAAGAGCCATCAAGATGGGAGATGAACATGACAGACAACTTCGTTCTTGTAATTATCTGGATGAGATTTTAGCGAAAATGAGTGAAAACAGTTTTAGGAACAGCTTTTCCTTTCACATATAAAAACCCAAACCAAATCCACTTTTGACAGAGCAGCCACCTCCCTTCAACAATGTACCTCCCTCAACACTTCATTTCTTCAGGTGAAAATCGTCCTAGCTTTTGCCATAAAGCTCCACCATGCGACGTGCTGCCTCCACAATGTTCTCTCGATGCCCAAATGCACTAACACGTACGAAGCTTTCTCCTCCGGGCCCAAACCCACTCCCAGGAGTGGTAACCATGTCAGTGCGAGCCAGAATCTCCTCAAACACTTCCCAGGATGCGGCCAGGGAAGCGCACCCATACATAAGGAGCGTTCACTCCTCCATACGTCTCTAGACCTGCTTCTGAGAATGCGGTCTTTAGAATGCGCGCATTTTCCTTGTAGAAAGCAATGAGACCCCGCATGGCCTGGGCGAAGCAGCAGAGGAAAAAACAAGACGTTGGAAAACGGAGGAAATGGATGGGGCAGGGGCATTGGGCAAGTGGAGAGGGGGGAGGGTGGTGGTGGTAAGGGTCAAGAAGTACCAAAGAGTCGGGTGGTTATTAGAGCAATCAGTGAAAGGAAACAAGACTCTGTAACCGGATGGTAGGATAGGATTATTCAGCTGACCTGGAGGCCTTGCGATGAGACGCAAGCGGTGCCGCCCGCCTGTGCGATGTTGCTGGCGCCGTTAAACGCGGTGTTGGCAATGCGGCTGAAGTCCGCTCTCACTGCATGGCCGTTGGCATAGCGCAGGGTGGAAGGCACGACCGTCCACCCCAGGCGCACCCCTGTGAAGCCCGCGTACTTGGAGAAAGATGCGGTTTCTATGGCCACCTGGGTGGGGGTGGGGTTGGGGTGGGGGGAAAGAGCAGGGAAGAAAGGGAAGGAGAGTCAGAAGAAGCATGAAAGAACCGGGTGATCGTTGGAATGGCACAAGGCGGACGGCTAGGTAGCACTGTCCACCCCAGGCGCACCCCTGTCCACCACGCCACGCCGCATCACCTCATAAGGTCCTTGGATCTCATAAATAGACCGAGTACTGTCATCCTCGATGTAGATGCCATTTGCGCTGTCATACACCACGATGAACCCGCCATGCACCACCACGCCCCACCACACCCCACCACACCCCACCACACCCCATCACACCCCACCGTGCACCACCATGGCCCACCACACCCCATCACCTCATGAGCGCCTTCGATCTCGTAAATGGAGCGAGGGCTGTCGTCCTCGATGTAGATGCCGTACGCGCTGTCATACACCACGATGGAGCCACCATGCCCCATCACGCCCGACACCACCACGGCCCACCACTTTCAACCACGCCCCATCGCACCTCATGAGCGCCTTCGATCTCGTAAATGGAGCGAGGGCTGTCGTCCTCGATGTAGATGCCGTACGCGCTGTCATACACCACGATGGAGCCGTTGCGCCGCGCAAACGCCACGAGCTCCTCCAACTGCGCCCGTGACGCCGCCTTGCCTGCGAGAGGGAGGGGAGGAGGAAGGAGGGGGAAAGGGGGAGGGGAGAGGATAGGGGAGGTCAGGAACCGAGAGGAGAGAGGAGAGATTGAAGAGAGGGGACGTCAACAAGGGACTCTATAGTGTTGTTGTTATTATTCTTAACAAAACGCGACAACGGGCATTGTACAGGATGAGTGAGGGATGCTAGAGCTGATGGGCCGTCCGTCTGGTGATAGGCTGTTCATTGAAATGCCTTATGAATGCTCCTCTCACCGCTGGTGGGGTTGCTGGGCTGCAGTAATTCCGCCGTCACTCACCGGTGGGGTTGCTGGGCACGAGCAGAAGAAGATGTTATCGGTGCGTGGAGCGCAGGTATGTACGTGATGTTGCTGGTGGCATGATACGTGAGGAGAACACCTTGCTGCTCCTTCCCATGAGTGAGGAGAACCCCTGGAACATCACGGTTCCACACTTACACTGTTGGGGTTGCTGGGCTTTACGCAATCCTTGCACTCACTCACCGGTGGGGTTGTTGGGCGAGCAGAAGAAGATGATGTCGGTGCGCGGCGCAGAGGAACAGAGGAGAGGCCAGGGGAGATGCTGATGGTGCGGTTGTTGGGCTTTAAGGAGCGCTGAGCTCACCAGTAGGGTTGTTGGGCGAGCAGAAGAAGATGATGTCGGTGCGAGGCGCAGAGGCGAGGTCAGGGAAGAAGTCGTTCTCAGGCGAGCAGCGCAGGTACATGATGTTGCCGTAGTGCTGCGATGAGGGGTCGTACGCGCCTGTCTGCCCCATGATCACACTCGTATCCACGTATGCCTGTTGAGACATGGGATGAGTTTGGGACATGTCAATAACGGGTCGTTCTCAGGCGAGCAGCGCAGGTACGTGATGTTGCCGTAGTGCTGTGCGGTGGGGTCGTACGCGCCTGTCTGCCCCATGATCACACTCGTGTCCACATATGCCTGTTGGGAGGGGAGGGCAAAAAGGTGGAAAGCAAAAAGGTGGAGGCAAAGGGGAAGGGGGATTGGGACCGGGAGGGGGAAGGGGAGAGGGGGAGCAGCGGTTATGGGATGAAGCGTGTAGCTTTAAGATGCGTCAAAGAGGGGGGGCATAAGAGCACATGTGCCCCATGAATGAACTCGTGAGCCTGATGAGGTGGCCAATACGGTTGTGCGCAGAAAACAGAACCATTTCGAGCAGACCGGATGTGGGCAGAATGGATTGAGTCTCCGCTGCGATAGCAGCGGATTCTGTTGGAGCAGGCCTGAGTTGCTGCTACAGGTGCTGCTGCAATCTGAACATTACCAGGAGAGGAAGCAGGCTCACATGGGGGGGGGGGGGGGGGGGTATGCATGCTGAATGCACGGTGCGTGCATTGTGAATGCATGGCGAGGCCATGACGAATGGGTGTTGATGGTGATGGTTGATTTTGAGAATTCTCAAAATCAACCTCAAACAAAATGGATGCACGCACTGGGTATGATGGGTCTTGGCATGCCATGCTGACGTTGGCACCGAACATCATCTGGAAACAAACAAACAGGCAATAACGGTCATGAGAACAGAACAATTATGAGGGGATGAAGGAGAAGCAGGCTCAGAACAAAACAGCAGCAAGGGGTGGTGGCGCCTCAATATGGCACTTATATCTGATCTGATGCACTGCACACCACTGGAAATCGTTTGTCTTGAAAGAACACTTCGGGGTGACGTGCAGCAGCGTGTGCGTGTGCGTGTGAGCGTGCGCATGTGCACGGACACGGAAGCGAAAACATCGTCATCCACCAAGCCCAAATCTCTCGGTGAGCAATGTGTGTGTAGTGTCTGTGCGCGTGGGTGCATGCATATGTGCAATGTGTGTGTACGCGCACCTGCAGGCGGGCAATGTCGCACTTGGCCCCATCAGACACGAACACATCATCATGCGCCACGCCCATGCCCTCATAGAATGCCGCCACTATGCCGCGACGAAGGGCCTGCACGAGGGGTGAGGAGGTGTGAGGAGGCGTGAGGAGGCGTGGACAGGCATGACGGGACGTGAAGAGGCAGAAAAAAAGAGAGAGTACCGTTTAGGAGAGGAGCTTTAGCCATACGTGGGTGGGAGCGAGATTGCACAGCATTTGTTTCAGTAAGACCTTAGACCACGCATCATGGTTGTTGCTCACAGGAAACCCACACGTTGTAGTCGACTCAAATCGCCCCCGCACATCCCTACTCACGTTACACATACACCTTTGCGCCTCCTGCTTTTGAGGAGCCGCAGATACGGACTCTTCCTGTCAATGCTGGTACGTACGTACCTCCTCTCCCTGGCTGCCCGCATAGCCCGTGTACCCCTCCAGTGTTCCTAGCCCTGCTGCTCTCTGTGTGAGGGAGAGGGAGTGTGAACGTGCACGCATGCACGCATGCACAAATGCACCCATTACCATGCATGCACATGCACACATGCGCGCAGAACACGCACAACGGGGAGAGAGAGCGGCGGGAGTGGGGGGGGAGGGTGAGTGACTGCGTGTGCGTGCGAGCGACTCTTGAACGGCCGTAAGAACCAGTACTAGCCGCTAGCAAACCAGCAGTTAACGAATGTCCTTTGACGGCCCCCTCCCTTTCACCTCCCCTCCGCCCCCCCTTTCCCCTCCCCCTTCACCCCCTCTTCCCCTTCCATTCCCCTCCTCCGCCCCTTCCCCCCACCCCTCCTCTTCCCCCCCGCACTCACGTCCGCCATGGCTTGCGCAATGACGGCGGGGATGGGCTCCGTGGTGTCGCCTATCCCCAGGCTGATCATGCGCGCGCTGGCGGAGGGCGTGCGCGCAATGTGCGCGGCCTTGCGCCGCGCCACCTCGGGGAACAGGTACCCCGCCTGCAGCTTCGCGATGTTGCCGTTGCGCTGCACTCCCGTGCGGAACTCCGCCGCGCTGGGCGCTGGGTGCGCACAGGGGGGCGCACATGAGGGGGTAAGGGGGGCGCACCAGAGCGCGCAAACAGGGTTGAGAGGAGGAGAAAGGGAAAGAGGGGGAAGGGAGGGAGGGGGAGGGGGAGAGGGGGGGGAGGAGGGGAGGGGTGGGTGGGTGGGGGGAAATGGGGGGGAAGGAGGGAAGGAAGGGAGGGTCCGCAGGTCAGTGTGTATAGCAGCGGACTCAGGGGGAAAGGTGGAAAGGGACGGGGGTGAGACGGGGGAAAACAAATGCGGGGAGCGGAAGGGAATGGTGAAGTCGGGACACTGAAAAGCGGGTGGAGGCGGTGGAAGGGGGTGGGGGAAGGAGGAAGTGGGGGACGGGGGAGCGTTTGTGCAGTAGAGAGCAATGATGAGCGGGGGATGGATATCGCAAGCAGCGACCAGGCAGGATCTGGGCTCGATCCGAGGGAGCGGAGAGTAATACCAGAGGAGGATGCGGAGGCGGACGAAGGCGTGGCGGAAGCGGAAAGCGGAACGGAAGCATCGACGGGCGCGGAAGAGGGACGGGCGGTATGCAAGTGGCGGAAGGTGGTGGCGGATGGTTGGGGAGATGGACGCAAACTGAGGCGGAGATCGCAGGTGAAAGGGGAAATGGAAAGAAAGAATAGGGGAGAGACATGTGAACTTGTGAAAACCAACTTGCGTGAGATCGTTTTTTTTCCACTGGTCGTACAAATACTTGTTTCCCATTCGACAGTTGCAGCGTAAGCAAATGTTTACTAAACAGTACGCGACATTTGAGTACGGATCGCTTCTGTGACCATTATTTGCGACAAAGCGCTCGCGCTGCCTGACGAAGCGCGTGTTTAGAGCCGCATTTAGTAGTAATGCTTACTCCTTCACATGCGGAAACTGCGCCTCGCCGATAACAGCACTGTTGCTGCAGTAGCCGCTTAGTTGCCGGCCAAGCGACTGCGACGTGCGACGCGTCGAATTCCTGGCGGCGCGAAAAGCGACAGCGGTGAAGCCACCCATGCTTGCGAATGGGAGCGCGCGAAGCGACGAGAGCGGCAATAACGAGGCGCTGGTAACACGCCTCGATAGGGAGGGCTGCTAGATAGCAGCGGTGGCGAGGGAGTGGTGGAGGATCATGGAATGGGACGGATTATGTATGTTGGAGTGGGAGGAATATGTATGTTGGGTTGGGAGAAATTGGAAATTAGGCGGCAGTGGTACCAGGTTGGCGCGGCGGCCAATGTTCTCGCACGTGACAATGACAATGAACTCTGCCTCCTCGGCTCGGCAATGCTGCTCGCTGTGGCAATGCGCTTACTGCATCAGGATAGGTTTGGCAGCGGCGCGGTTAGGCTGAGGAGGAGGTTATCGACGGCGCACGAAATGCTACATGCCCTGACGAATGCTGGTTACATACGAGAACGTAGGTATGGTTCGGGTCACGCTGTCGCTAACGATTCGCTGCATAGGCTCGGCCCAGATTTTCCGCTCGATACGAAGTTGACTGCATGCGTGGCAGTCGCGCAGGGAACACAAAACAGGCTGAGCTGGGACCCTGCGGCCATACCCCAGTGGTCAACGTGAATTTCGCCAATGTCGAGTCAGCAAACGAATGGTCTGACGTCCACATGTCCCTGCTAATGTTGGTTCACTACCACTCGTAACTGGGCTCCCTACAAACTGCAGGAAGGAGCATGTTACATGCTGTACTTTTACTGAAATGGTTACATACTTACCAGCTTCATGCAACTTAAAATGCATTATTCAATACATTCCTACCTTATGAACAAAACTCTTGAACAAAGCTGCAATACAGATTTGTTATACTCACGCTAGCACCGTACGGTTTGTTAATCTATAGTTCATTTAACTGGATGGTTTTGGGTGATCTTATTCTCCTTTATTCCAATGTCAAGTTCTGGTGTAGAAAACTACACATCTCCGACTCTGCAAACAGCAAATAGATCAACCACGGGGAAACAGCAAGAAGGTTATGAACACGGAGGTCCAGCAATTTCAGGCCCCATGAAAACAGTTACTGACCTTGGAACTAGAGAAATAGTATGACAACTCACCTCTGGAAATTTCTCTTGCTTGTTGTCGTTCGGATTCAACCAGCCAACACGTGGCAAAACGAGGTTATCCATGTAAAGAAGAATACACTTTAGGCGGTACTCCTGCAGGGAAGAAGGGTGTGGGAGGAAAACCGGGTATTAGGAGGATGCCTAAGTTAAGACCCTGGCAGAGGAATAGGATGTGTGTTTCCGTGGCTTGGGTGAAAAACGGCTCGTGCATAGGTGCACCTTGTATCCAAAGCGGTGGAGTGCGGTGTTACCTGGTAGACGTATGTGGGGATGGGGTGGTGCGCCAAGCAGTTGGCTGCCATGGGAAAGCGCCCGCCGCCCGAAGGCCCGACGGTGGGGCTGGTGAAGTAGAAAATCGGGCTGCACTGGGGGCCCTGCACAACAACCCAGCGGACGACACGGATCATTCGACATGCGACATGCAGAATGAGACATAAGTAGACGATATCTGGTATGTATCTCACAACATAAATCACACAGCGCAAGGTTAAACTAGTTCGGACGAGTGTTGCGATTTCGGCAAGAATTTCAGACGGCCTCAAATTCAAACAACGAGGCACCGCGTGCATGGAACTCGACTTGAGACGTACATTGCAGCTCATGTTGCCGTTGCTGTTCGCGGATATCACTTTCACCCCAGACCTGCACAGATTCAGAACACACGTGTATTAGGTCTAAGACGATGTATTAGTCGGCTGGAAGTGCCGCGGGGGTGACATGGATAAGCATCAAGTCTCGCGCATCGTGCGTTACAAGTGTGTTGATGAAAAGAAACGTGCCCAGGAGGGCACGCGAACAGGAGACTGCCAGAAGTAGGATTCGAATGCACTCCCAAACCCCCGCGCCTGTGGTAACGACAAGACCTAAGCGCGTCTGGGTCGAAGGATCTTCGGTTGAATGGGATTTGAAGGCGCTCACCTGTGGTACACGGGTGGGCTGAGCAGTCGGTTGACCTGCTGCGGCGAGAGTCGGAACACGGGCGGACGCGCTCGATTGTAGAGGAAGAAGAAGTCGCATTGCTGCTCAGAGGAGGGGCAGTACAGGCGTTAATTTCGGCGTGACTCTGGTGTGCTGGTGAAACAGTAACCGGGTGTGCTGTAGCGCGAACGCGGCTTGTCTTGGAAGGGAATTTGGAATGTTGTTGCTAGGTGCTGTGCTGATCGTGGTGACAAAACAGGGATCTATCTCACCTGAAAAGTCCGCGCGCATTGCCCGCTCACAGATCCTATGACGGCTGCGAGAGGCAGGAGTGGGTTTCATCGCGGGAATTGGGGATCAGTGCGGTTAGGACGTTCCATGGGGAAGAACCCAGGCAAGATTGAAAAAGATAGGATGATACACGCTATGGATGGGGCAGGTCGGTACTCGGGGCTACGGCGAGTAGAATGAGGCTCACCGAGGATCACGCAGAGCGCAAGAAGACGTCGGACGGCGGACATGTTGATAGCCTACTCTCAGTCTGTGGACGTTCGTCTTAGCCTGTGTTCGTAAGAAGCTAGAAGAGTGGGAAACTGCAGTGAGATTCGTGAATGCGAGTGGTTTCCGTGCTTTGCACAGGTTTTTAATATCTGATATGGTCGAGGGTTTAGGTTCCTGCGCTTTGCCCAGGTCTTTATTATCCGATATCTGATACACAAGTATGTGCCGCCGATTTTGAGAGCTCGATATGGTGTTGGTGTCGCCAAGTATTCTCCAATGACGTTGCCGCTTGAGGGACGATGTGCTTTTGTGCAAGGCTGCTATGGATACGGCTGTGTTGTGATGATGTGAGCCTGTGGCAATGGCGAGAAGGGATTCAAGGGAAGTGACATGAGACGTCCAGCCGAGCCCAGCACCAAGCAGTTCCAAGGGCGACTTCACGGGCCGCGCGGCAACGTACCGCGGTTCGGTGCTGTTTCGTTATGGAGGGTGAATGTCATTTTAATTACGAGGACACCCTACGGAAGTTTCAGATTGGACTCTTTAATCCAGATGCGGGACCAGATGCTCGGTGCCCCCATTTCGCTAATTAAGTACAGTTGCGAAAAGACGCATTGTTATACACCTGACTTGACGCCCAACGACAGCTCTAAAACCAGGTAAATTATTCTCGAGGGGCTCAATATTGCCAACTTTGACAAGGGTGGTCGCAGGTCGATGTTTTAGGGCATGCGACCTCGCCACGTCGTGTCAGCGTGACACGCGCGTCACGTAGGGGAGTCGCAATGTACAGTCAAGCTCACCCCCAAACCCAACCGCACCTTGTAAAGAAAGGTGCTCCCAGTTTGGTGCAGTCGAGGCGAAATGACTGTCAAGGGAGAAAATATATGTTACACACCTACTTTTCCATCTTTTTATGAGTACAAAATTAACACAAACAGAGTCACAGGTGGCGAAGCCACCCTTAAATTGGATAGTGCGCGTATCCAGGATGTAATAAAACTATTATCAGTTGATTCTATATCATATCATATATGACTGACAAAAAAAAACTATATCGTCCATTTGGATTCTATGCCAATTGTTCTCCCCATCACAACCTGCAGCCCCCTCCCTGCCCGTAGCTGCATCTGCATCTCATTGCCGTTCACCACAACACTCCCTTGACCAGATAACTCTCCCACCGCATTCAGGGTCTCATTGACAATACCTCCTGGTGTCACTGCAGCTGCTGGCGGGGCAGGGCTCTGAACTTGCTGCTGCTGTGGAGGTGGAATTTGGGGAGGCGTAGGTGCTGCAGACTGGGCCGCCGATGCCACTGCCGAACCTGCTGCAGCGGCAGCTGTGCCAGCAGCTGCGCCCAAAGCACTCCCAAGCACAGCACCAGCAGCAAAATTCCCCGCAGGCACAGCAGGAAAACCTGGAAAACCTCCCCCAGCAGTACCTGCTCCCTGTTGTGCTGGTGGCAGTGGTGGGGTCAATTGCTGCTGCTGCGCTGGAGGCAGAATTAGCGGTGGTGGTGGTTGCACGACTGCAGGGGACGGTACAGCAGCCATAGTGGTTCCTGATCCTGTAACTCCCGCTCCCTGTCCAGCCCCTCCCGCACCAGTCGCGTTGCCCTCGCCACTCGCAGCAGCCGCACCAGCAGCAGCTCCTGCCAAGGCTCCAGTGGTGGCGCCTCCAACAGCCCCCAGCAAAGCGCCCCCCGCCGTGGTAACAGGATTCGGAAAAACAGGCGGGAATAACGACCCATGAGGACCAGCACCAGTTGCTGCAGGACCACCAGTGGTGTTCGGGGAGATAGCCGTAACTCCCCCGGGAGTTGTAGTAGTGCTAGTGACGGCGACAGAGTTGGGAGAATTCGTTGTGGTGGTGGCAGATGCGTTGAAGGACAGCTGGGCTGTGATGTTGGTGCTGGATACGGTGGTGCCGGGGGGCGGTTGTCTGACAGGTGGTGGGGCTGGTGCAGTGGGGAAAGGAGGGAAGGGAAGGAACTGAAGCTGGCGTCGAGAGTATTGCATGCGCCTCTGTCTTATTATCCCGCTGTTTTTCACGATTTTGAGGTCCGTGACATGAGGAATCAGGACAGGTTTTGGGATATCAGAGACTGGAATACCAGGAGAGATGGAACCAAAGAAAAGAGACGGGCTGACAATGAGGAGGAGGGAGAGAAGTGGGAGCAGGATCAGGAGTAGTAGGAAGAATTGTTGGTTGTCATGGAGGATTCGAAAAGCAGTGGGTGAGGCGGAGGAGGAAGCTGTGGGGTCATTGGCATGCGAGACCCTCGCTCGAAGGGTGTTGGCCGATGTTGCCATCTCAATGGCACTGCACTGCAGTCACACGCCTTGCGAGCAGGTTTCGGAACAGGGAAAATGATCCGAATTCCTAAGGCAGCAAGAGACGCACTTGTTAGTACCACAATGTCATGGCGTGCAACTATTCAGCTTAACCCTAAAATAGTACGATCCCCAACTCTGGGCCATTGCGAGTCCCCATCATTCCGGATTCCTCAGCCACTAACAGATCCTCGAGCAATCGAACGATATATTAGTGTATGGAACGTGAACCGTGCGGCAAAGAGGTGTGATGACAATAGTCAATCAGCCCCGCCGACTGCTGCCAGTGTTCCAATTGGAATGAACAAACGCCTCTGACAAGCAGGCCTTTCGTTCCAATTGGAATGCCAGATTAGTGGCTAAGGCCTTAAGCCGAGTTTCCGTCTTCAAGCGAGAAATTAGAGAACACGACATGCATACGCCGGAATAACGCCTTCTCTGACTCATCAGGCACGATCCTTGCGACGGTTGGATTTGCGGTCCTGGAATTCCAAGTGGCTGCTTCGTGGAGCGCGGAAGTGCGTGCACGGCACGTTATGCGCTGCTTGCTAAGAGGAATAATGAGAACCTGCGTCTGAACTAAGAACCTGCGTGCATCTCGAGAACGCTAATGCACTGGTGGTGTGGTGGAGATACAAAAGGACGAGTTGGCGTTGATTTCATCGACAACTTCATTTGTGGCTCCCACACCCAAACATTGCGCTTCGATATTATCGTGGCAGAAGTGGTGTTGGAATGCACGAATTAACTGCAATAAAAGCTGCACTCCGATATATAGTAGGAATAGCAACAAATTGATTCAGAAAACAGCAGGTGTTGTACAACAGTTTATCATGCAGACATAAACAGGCTGGTCATGGTCATCATGGTTTCATGGCACCGATGCGAAATCTAAGGTGTATCATTCTTCTCCACGCAGGAGTATGTTTTCGTCATAGTTTTCGCCAAATCTCTGCAAAACCAATTGGGGAAAACGAACAGGTGAGGGGAATAGAAAGGCGAATGGCGAGTGGAGATGCAGGTGTTTGAAGGACGGGTTAATGTTCTTGGAGGCAATGGGGATGTGACAAGCAACACTGTTAGAGGGGGTGAGCCGAGAGCTTACTGCGACTCGGCGCCTTTTTCCTCGTCCAAGCTGCTCATCAACATCAGCTGCTTGATTCTCCTTTTCTTCGCTGCTCGACTGGCACATGCGCTGGACAACTTTCTGCAGTGCAGCAGGGCCAAGTAACCGCCTTGTGAGCCTCACGGTGTTTGGAGTACAGGATTCTTGTGAGGAGTCTTGAGAAGGATTATCGCACTGCCATGCTTCCTGCACAGGGCATTCGAAACGTCATTGAACCATCGAACCGTTCAATAAGAACTCAAGCAAAGGGGTTTCCAAGGCCACTTGCCTTCTCTTGCAGTTCCCTTTCCCTGTCTGCTGCAGCAAAAATTGACTTCTCCTCCTCACTGCAAGGGAGAAAACGGATATATGAATACATGATGAAGAACGTGAATATACCATAGAGCCAAGTGCAAACTGCAGGGTTAAAGAGCCCCAAGTGAGGTATAGTGCAAGCATGAGATTACTGCGAGTCTTACAGGAGACACAATCTACATGGCAATCAAGACAATGCAAATGCCACAATCAGTCCCAACCAGAAAACATGCTAACAAAAATAAGGTACTGTACCTCCGCGCCAGCAAATTGTTCAGGTGGGCGTCAGAAATCGCCAGGGGGCAGTAGTGATCATCTGAGGCAGGTGCAGCAGCATCAAGTTCATCCACGCCCTGGTCCTCTGTGCGGAGCAGCGTCTCAAGGTATGTCTGCCGTTCTGCAGCGCTGTGGAGACAAGGAATGGGAGAGTAACATCCCAGTACAGTGTTAAGGGACGCATGATTTAGACCTGGCTTCCTTCAGAGAACTGCAAGTACAGAGATCATTAAAAAAAAAAAAAAAAAAAAAAAATTGGGGTGCATACCTGGTCTGATTGTCGAAGAATCCGGCTGTGATGCTCTGATTTGCCAGCCCCAGCTTCCTTTCTGCGGCCGTCCTCACCCGGTGCTCAACAGTCCCCAACTGATGCCAGAGGAGGGTTTGTGTGGGAGAATTTAAGTGAGCTTAGGGATACGGGAAACACGACACTTGCTCTCTTTGAATGGTAAGCTGCAAACGCCGGGGGTAAAGGCAAAAAGCAGTGAGCAAACAAGACTTTGTGTCACAAAGCGTAGACTCACGGTTTCTAGCCTGATGACAAGGACTTCATTCTTCTGGCCAATGCGATGTGCCCTTGCTTGTGCCTGCAAGTCAATCTGCAACAACACAAGAGCGAGGAGACGAATGTGAGGATTGTTAGGAGTAGAATGCGAAGAACCACATGGTTCGTTCACGCAGGATTGTGCCACAAGGCCGCCTATTGCACTGCCCTAAATCTGTTACAGAATGCGGTTTAATTCGGTACCTGTGGGTTCCAGTCGGTGTCATACATGATGACCGTATCTGCTGCTTGGAGGTTGATTCCCACCCCTCCAGCGCGCACACTGCACAGCAAATTCACAAACATGAGCTGACTGTTAATAGAAAAAAAAGTGACAGAAAACAAAGTGAAGGCCACCATGATTATTGAGAGCTCTATGATAGAGCACGCAACAGGCCAAGGCAACGGATGTGAGGGACTGGCGCACCTGAGGAGGAAGATAAAGACATCAGAATCCGGTTTGTTGAACTCGCGAACCAACTCCTCCCTGTCACTGCCGCCAGTGCTTCCATCCAGCCTGAAGTAGTTCCAAGGGTTACTGGTTGTAGGTGTGGCAGAGCTGGAGGGAGCATGCACTTCAGTTGTCTGTTTGATCAACTGCTCCGCTTCTGCTTGCTGCTGGCGTCTGGTCACCCGCCGCTGCCCGCTTGAACCCTTTCCCTCCTCCACCGCCTTGCATTTCTGCTGTTTCGACTTTGCCTGCTGCTGCTGCTTCTCCTGGTCCAACAGAAGCTTCCTCTTCTGCTCGTTCTTCTCCTGCACTTCTGCATGCGCCTTCTGCTGCCCTTCAATATACTCCTCCACAATGTCCAGCAGCCGGGTCATGGTGCAGAACAGCAGCACCTTGTGCTTAGCTGCGTGTAGCTTGTGCAGGATGCGGTGCAAAGTCTCCAGCTTCCCACACGTGCTGAGCAGCGGCGGGAGGGGCCCGCTTGGAAGATTCTCCTCCACCTGTCAAGAGTAAGTGTCGGTTGATGATCGGAGCAGCACTGCCTGAGCAAGTGGGACTTGGGGCTGTGCATGCTGCGCAATACTGTACTGTTGCATCATCTATAAAAAATAAAGAAGCTGTAACGGGATGTAGATATTAGCATTGTGAAGCAAGCAGGGCCATGCATCTCACTCTCTGACCTCTCGGTTGTGCAGCGTGGAGAGGAACGGATGGTTGCAGATGCCCCGCTGCTCCATTACTCCGTTCATGATGGAAGGGGCGCTTCTCTTCCTTGTCATCGGGAGGCTGAAATTCTGCAGGTCGGAAAAAGTGCAAGGGTTGGAACTATATATCAAGAGGCAAGACGAGAAACTAATGGAGAGAAGCATTCAGCTTCCGCGCTTTCGGTTTTCAAAGTGATAAAACGAATCACGCCTTACCAATTTGACTTGCAATACTGGGAGATGGGGACTCACGTAAACGTTGTTAACCGGAGCGTTGGTGGTGCCTGCAGAGAGGTCTTGATGCTGCAGAACTTGCTGAATGAGCCACTGCTGGTATGCAGACGCAGCACATGGAATACGGCGCTCCAGGCGCTTTGGCAGCTCTGATGCCACCTGGTTGACATTCAGAATGGGGTGCACACAAGGAGACAGGCAAGCTACAGATAGATGAAACTGCAGGAAGTGACATGGGGGCAAGACAACCACAAGAGGAATAATCTATCATGGATAAGACTCGAAGGGGAGTGCTAAAACGGAAAGCCACGCGGCGTGGTCGTACCTTATGCTTGAGTCGCCGCAAGACAAACGGCCGAAGGACCTGATGCAGTCGGTTGATCAGCAGCAGCCTCTCCTCCTCGCCCAACACATCCTCCTGCTCTGAGTCTGCACTTCCGCCTTGAGCGCTCGCGCCCGCCTTTTTGGGCAGAACGTGTGATAGCGGCTGGGAAAACCAGGAGGCGAAGTCTGATGCGCAGTTGAAGACGGAGGGCAGGAGGAAGTTGAGAAGCGACCAGAGCTCCTCCAAGTTGTTCTGTGGTGTGTGTAGAAGGAAACACGATAATTCATGTCAGACAAACGTCCAGGGAACAGAGAATCACACACAACAAACAAAAAGGGACACAGAGTGGCGGCAAAAGTGTGGCATATGAAACAAGAAAACAAAAACTATACACAAAGTGATGTACCTGGATAGGCGTGCCACTGAGAAGAATCCGGTGATTTGACTTGTATGATTTGAGATGGGCGTTGAGCTTGCACTCCGCGCTCTTGATCCTGTGCCCCTCGTCCAGCACCACATACTCCCACGACAGGCGGATCAACCGCGGGCGGTCAAACTTGCCCATGAGCATCTCATACGTGGTCACCACCACGTTTGCCACTCCTCGCTCCTCCAGCCACTTTTGCTGCGCCTCTCCAACATCACTCCCATTGTTATGAGGGCACCGTGTCCATGAGTTGATCTCACGACTGTATGTTCAGTTGGGAAAAGGGAGGGAGGTGAGAAGGGAGGTTGTGGTCTGGGAGGAGGGGACAGGAGAGTAGTTCAACAGGTGATAAAGGCACACCGCAGACTCATCCTTGATCAGTCAGAGAACGAATCTGATGCTTCTAAGCTCTCCACTGAAATTTCGTGTTATATTCCCCTTGTTGAGATATAGCACCTGAATATAGCAGCCCGTTTGTCAGGCATGCCAGAATATCTGGAAACACGCAAGGAAGGCGCCCATCGGGCAAACTCGGCCACCCAGTTGGGAAGAACAGATGCTGGCGCCACAATGAGAAAAGGCCCCGGAATCTTCTTCACCTCCACGAGATAGCAAAGGAGTGCGATCACCTGAAATCCAGCGCACATGGTCATGAACAGTGCACAGTTGCAACAGTTGCAAGCACACGGGGTAACATCACCTCTACAGGGTTAGCGAAACAAAGACGTGAGATGCACACACACTGAAGGAATCTAGCTCACCTGGACTGTCTTGCCGAGTCCCATCTCGTCTGCAAGGATACCGTTGAGGCCATTGGCATGCAGTGACGCAAGCCACTGAAGTCCGTCCCTCTGGTATCTGCCAGATACAAAACGCATTGACACCCTCAGCATGGCAACTAAGGATAAATAGGGCCTGCGAGTGTGATGTGCATGAGAGGAACTAGGTGTGCGGAAAAAGATGCATGTGGGAGAGGGAAGAGGGAACAGTTTCGTTGCACATACTCGCGCAGTTCGCCTCCTGAAAGAATCGATGGCTGCTGAACGATTTCTGACTTCCTGCAATAAGAGTTGTCGGAGCAGGAATGAAAGGTTAACTGAAAGATGCACTCTGGAAGGCGGCCACCACAACAGCAGAAATAGCTAGGGGACCACAACTTTGAAACAGTAACTTCGTCTTACTTGTGCAAGAATTTAGTGTAAGCCTTTTCGGCTTCAAGGTGGTTTGACGTAGCTGACTGCAAAAAGAAAGAAAACAAATACAGGACAGAAGTCAATTCTTGCCAAAAATGTCATACAATAGTCCACAAATGCAATGTTAGCTGCACATTACTCACAAGTTCACCCGAGTCTGGCTCAGCCCCGTCATCCTGGCCTTTCACAACGCCCTTTTGCTGGCGCACAGACGCTATTCGCCCAGCAATGCGTTGAAGATGTGCCTCTGTCTCCTTGAGCAGGTTCTGCACCCTCTCTGACTTCATATTCTGCAGAAACGCAAGCAAAGTGACATCAATATAGTGGATCTTATGCCAAGAGCCTCAGCAGCCATTATTCAACGAGCACCCACCTTAACCAGCTTGAGGTAGCCTTCCATGTCATTGTTCCTTAGCAGCTCCACCTTCTGCCTTTGCAACTTCAGCTGCTCCTCTTCGTATTTTCTCTTCTTTTGCTCATGAAATTCCAAAACTTTCTGGCATGTCAACAGACGTATTTCTGCTTTCGCCTCAGCCGCCTTGAATATCTTATCCCTGGCAGAAGAACAACAAGGAAGTTAAGCCTTCACGTTCAGCGTACTCTTGGTGGCTTAAACAGACAAATCTGCAACAGAAGGGACATAGACGTATACCTCTGTTTGATGATATCCCCAAGGAAAGCCTCCATGTCTCGCGTCTTACGTCTTTTGGCCATTTTGGTTTTCCATTCCATCCACCTTGACTTCAAAGCAGACACACCCTCTGCTGCTGGTGGCAACACCTGAACGCCTTCACCAGTCGAACTCGTCCCTTTAGGAGCATCCTTAGATCCGCAATTGGATTTGGCGCTGCCAGCTTTACGTTTTCCCAAAACTTTGTTCCGCTGCGAGGTCCTCCTTTGGCCAGCATCGTCGTTGGGTTCCTTTTTTTCACCCTCAAGGCCAGCCTTTTCATCCTTTGGAGCCCAGTGTTTCCACAGATTGAGAAGGCTTCGATTGTGGAAGCTGAGCCTAGGCATGCGCAACAGTAGGCCGGAAGCGAGACTGAAGTCTAGCACAATGTCCCTGCATAAGACCACTGTCAATCCCGAGGTTCCAGAAGGCAATGTTCAAGAATTCAGGGCATTGTAACGGCGGATCCGCTGCTTACCGTATTATCTGGTGCTGAAACTCCAGAAAGCGTTCCTTATGCGGTTTGGGAATGGAGGTTATGAGACGCAAATGGTCTTCCGAAAGTAAGATGCTTTGAGGCCGCGTCGAGCAGCTGGAAATGCTGGCACGGATAGTGCTCTTGCAATTCTTGCTCTCTTTTTCCCCAGAAACATCGGCGGGTTCTTGCTTGACTTTCGCCTTTGACTTGGATTTTGCATTTGGCTCAGGATTCTTCTTGTTTTGTGCCTGGGGTTGTTTCTGCACATCAGTCAATGTAGCCTTTTAGCACAGAACGGTACGAATATCAGAGCCTGACGCTGCGACAAGTAGCTCACATTTTTTGTCGTCTTCTTTGACGGCGGTTCCAGAGCGGATGATATTTTGGACGACAACCTTCCTTTGCACTCTTTCTCCAACTCTGTAATTTCCAATAAAAGCTTGTTAGGATCCCACATTGCTGGCTGTCGCCGCGTGCATTCAACTTCAAGGAGCAGTGGCTGCTAAGACTGTAAGTAATTACCTTTCGCTTGGTTCCGCGAAAGCCTTGGGAGCCGGCGTAACGCCAATGCGAGGTCTGCGCGTGGCGGAACCTTCCCCTTCCTGAGATAAGGAAAACTATTATATGCACTGTAAGCTTCATCATTGTGGTGTTAAGGCCGAGCAAGTACCTGAATGCTATCCACACATTTATCTGAGCTCGAAGCTGACCAAGAGCATAGATGCTCATGGGAGATTCCTTCTCGTTTTCGTCCATCGTGACTCTCTGACGCTGGATGTCGTTTCAGCGAAGTTCAAAGCAGCTTAGTCGGAAATAATAAGACTGGGCGCTTTTGGAGCACAGGAAGCAGAAAGGTCATACAGCGGGATTATCCGGTAGGGCATGAGCGGGATCACCGAGCTTCCCGAACAGACTCCTCGACATTGACGAGGACGAGCTGCATTTGCCGCAAACGTGAAGGTTCAGAGAGGCGTGCTCATTCTTCTTTGTGTCAGCAAGAAACTGACCCGGGGCTGCTCCGCCTCGGGTTCTCCTCCAAATAAGCCCGACACATAACTCGAAGGGAACACGCCCTAACCGAATGGTTAGGCTCCACCACTCCAGTTCAAGTTCGTGATTCTACTGATTGTGAGAGCTTTATGTGCATTTTAGCAACTATTTGCATGTTTGATATGTGCCATCCATCTAAAGTTGTATTACGTGTAGGAAACGTATTTTTAACAGAGAAACATAGTGTACTGACATATTTCTAGAAACATACAGCGAATCTTGTAAAATTCTGCTGTGAGTGTTCTTTTGGAACTTCAAATATTGGAGGGAAGGATTCTAGTCGGCTGCTGCTATCTTAAACGACTGATGCCGTCAGCTAGAAAGCAACTTTTCCCTGTCCAGCTCACCCATCCCCATCACACCACTGCCACGCGATCTGCACCCTGCACTTTCGCGCCACACCGTTCAAATTTCACGAGCCGCCATGCCTTTCTCCCGCCACGCCCCACAAGCACAGCAACGCTTGCAGTGTCGCGAAGAATTTCCTCAAACACATCGACAAGGTTACCCGATTCGCAATGCCTTTCTCGCATTGGCGATGGTCGCAAGTCAGAGTAATCGAGCCGCACAATGACATCAATCCATGGAGCGGTTCGAGTTCCATCCAAGTCAGAAATTCATGCTGCATTTCACCTCTCCAATTCTCCCCAACACCGCTTTCGTACAGACTGCTACTATACCGTGCGAGTCCGTTGCACCTTTCTCCTAACTGGTGCTCTGTTGCCATCGGGAGCCTGCCATAATTTCTCGTCGCTCTCCTCAGGAGCGCGTACCTGTCGAGGTGATACCACCGCCTGGCGCGACGCAAATTACTTCAGTAATTTAAAAAATATCCTGAGATTCTACGACGAGTAGTGTCCCGAAGGAGGAATCACAGGCACCGTGGTTGACTTCTCGATTGACTTAGTTCCAAGCAAGCAAACGCTCACGGACCAAATTGAAATGAATAAGGCAGCCTTCAGTAGTAACCAGACCATAGACACCGTGCCGCGGAGGTCAGTCACACCCCAGAACTCCCCTTTGCGCAGCCCTAGCGTCGTTCTAAGGAAAGCCCAAGAAGAAACAAATCAGTTTGCATAGTGATTGTTCCAAACCCGTAACCTCACCTTATCCTCAACGTAAGCGCTCCGGCAGAAAGCAAGACGCTCTCGATGATGACATGCGTACGGCGTAATCGAGCAATAGGGATTTTTCTTCTAGTATCGTCCGTCCTCTCTTCACTACCTTACTTCGGCCATCCTCCCTACGCTAGACTCCTGGCCTCCGCTCAGCCAATCATAAGTCAGGTTGTAGCCGGCACAGACAGCAACTATGCTGTGCAGATTACGGTGCGGGATGTAGCCGGGGCTGTGGCAGCTGACGTGGCAGACCTGCGGCTCGTGTGGGCCAACGGCACGGCAATATGGGAGGGCAAGGAGTATGGAGACAGGTGGCAGCTAAGTCCAGGTGTCACGATCACGCTGTGCCACGGTGGCGGGTCGCTTATCTTGGAACGACTATGCGACATCGTAGTCGAGGTGCGAGTGGGACATTACGCAAAGGGTCGCTCATTTCTGAACGACAATCAATGTCGCTGGCCGTTGCGAGCTCACCTAATCCAACTCCTGAATTATTCTCGATCTTACTTCTTTGTGGAGGGGACGTCCCACTGCAAGCTCCGTGTAAACCGTCCTCTTTCTTGATCTCCACCCATCCCCTCCTTCTGCTCCCCGCAGTCGCTTCGTTTCGGCCCCTTCGTGTCGTTCAACCTGCTCTGGCAACCGCCGGATCGAGCCCCCACCAGAGACATCGTGAGTATCCTTGATCAATAAGGTGCTTCTAAAAGCGCCTCAAATAACTAGGTGGTTCATGATAAATGTAAAACAACCAGCTCGTGACCTTACAGAAGGCGATGACGGGGAAAATGACATAGGGGGAGACGGAGAAGTAAGAGTAGGGGTGGGCTTGGCGGGCCACAGGAGCAGCGAGAGGAGTGGCAGGGTGCTGAAATACGTGATGCATGGAATGCGTGTGACGAGAGCGTGTTGCGAGGGCGTCCCATGGCAAGTAGACGGGGGGCAGGCTAGGCGGTCGAGAAGTTTGTAGGATGGGCCGCTCGTGGGAGGACATCCGCGTGCTGAAACGGAAACATTTCCCGCTATATCTACACTACATCCGTGCTACATCCGCATTTCTTCTTCTCTGTTGGCCCCCTTCGTTCGTCCTCCTCGTCTCTCCTTACTTACTCGTTCCAGCGCTCTCCCCCGCCTTTCCGCTCAAATCTCACTTCCCTCTTCCTCCGCTCCGCCCTTCCTCCGCTCCCCTCTTCCTCGGCTCCGCTCTTCCTCCGCTCACCTCATTCTGCCCCTACCCTTCTCCTTCCAGTTTGGTCGAGCAGCTATCCGGACCAAAGCCTCTCCCGGCGGGGCCGCCGTCGCCGCCGCCACAGGCGGCGAAAGCTCGCGTCTCGCGTGGTGGGGCATCGACTCGAAGTCGGAGAGCAGCAACCGCGGCCGAACCGCG